AGTCGATGCTTCATACTGCTCCATTTTCCGTTGATCGGCGCTGCTGAGACTCCATGAGTGTGTTGCATTCGCATCTCTGAGTAGTTCTTAAAGCTGCGCCATCAAGTGCTTCTGGTAGTTTCTCAGAAGACATATTATACTAAGTATTTATATCAAGGCTACAAACTGAACCGCTTCGCATCAGGTGTTCTTGTATTTAATCTACCATTAATCGAACCTCAAGCTGATTCAAAAGCTGCGAACCAAAAGAGGCGGCATTGGTTGCAATCGCTTATGCCGCCATGATCTAAGTATATGATATAGTTTTCAAATAATAGATCATATGGAACTAGACTCTGTAAGGTCTGTTTTATTACTAATCGAGTTTGTGCAAGGCAGTCGATATACTTAGATTTAACCTTCCAGGCAAAAAGATGGTATCCAAATATTTTGATACCTTAAAAATGATGTCTCCTTCTGCTTGTTAAGACATTTTAAATTTAAAAGTTAAAGTCGAACCAAGCCTTTGCATAAATCGCGAGCTATCTGCAATTTATTTCCCTTACAACTTCTAAAGATATCAGCTTATAAAATGTATCTTATGGAGCTCAGCTGTTGTACAAGTTGTTCTAAGGAGTAAGTCTCGAGAGCTACTGCTTAAGAATTGCCCCCGCTTTCAGGCAATAAGTCACAATGCTGCCAATCTAATGCTGCAAAAAATACACAGACTTAAAGGCCAGGCCAAGCCATTTGCTTACCAAGTCTCACACACGAGCCAGCCACAGGTCAACAACTGTCGTTTGTTTCGAGTGTTTGTTTACCTGTTCAACGAGTCGTCTAAAAAATGAAATCGAATCAAATCAAAGCGCAACAATTGACAAGCAAAGCGCAAAGGCTGTCAACAGGATGAGTCCTTACGTGTTTGTGTGTGTGTGCGTGTTTTTATACCCTTGTAGAGGGTATTTACTCTTGTCACCAAAATGCGTCACGCATACGACACTGAAAAGTATGTGTATCTATTCTTGATCAGCATCCACAGTCGACATATTCATCTGCTTTCTGCTATGCCAACTGTTCTGTCCGTCTTAAAGCCTTACATATATTTCTGTTAAAAGCAGTACAGTTGTCGATATCGAACGGATCGAACTAGCTTATCATATAGCTCCCATAAGAACGATCGATGCTACCAGCTTATGAGCAGCATCTTATCAATATCGATACCATGTCTGTCTGTGAGAGTTAACCGCTCCTCGGAGCAGCTGCTCCAAGTCTTTTCCCACTCGATTTAGTAAAGTAGCGAATCCAAGGACGAGGGATGTTCCGGAGGCTCTCGAATGGCAGCACAATTTATTGGACTTTTCCGAGTAAGCACAAAGTTTTCTCTACTCAAAGGGTTTTCCCTACTACCCATTCAAGCAGCTACCTGATCTAAAAAACGCTCTCGGTCAATTCTTTATTCATTATTTATATTGTTGGCACTTTGATTTATCTGCGGTTTTCGTTGTGGGCATTGGCAGGGGTTGGCGTTGAAGGGGTTGTTGTTGGCTTTTCACGCATCGGAAAAGTGAAATAGCCCTGGTTAGAGTTTTCTCCCCACCAATTGGGCAGTGACTTGTTAATTTTCTAATTACAAAATCATTTTCTTTGTCCTACCTGCCTGAAAATAGAAACAAAATAGAAATACTTGTGTGTTTCCTGGTGTTTCCAGGCATTAGTTTTGGGTTTTCCTCTATGGGTTTTTTTCTTTCTTTCTTTATTTTTGGTTTTACGGCCGCCTTTGAAGGCCCGTCGAGGCATTGGAAAATGCGCTGTGGCTGACAAGTGAGCAGAAACCTGTTTGATTTGTCTTAATTTCTTTCACCAACCAAATTTCGGAGAGTGTGTGCAAGTGTGTGTGTGTGTGTGTGTATATACATATGCTGTGCCTCTGCCCTTCGGTTCTACTTGGTTGTTATCAGCGCCGGTTCATCAGTTCATGTGAGAGCCTGCCCGCCTCTCAGTATCCGTCTCTGTCCTTCCTTCTGTCTTCGCCTCTATCTCCATCTCTGTCTTTGTCTCTGTATCTGTGTCTACCTATGTCTGCATTTCTTTGTCTGTGGCTTGTCTTGTGCTTATTTTCAATTTATTTATGTATGTATTGTACATCAAAAAATTAAAAAAAATAAAACAAAAAAAAACAGCATAAAACATAGCATTTGGATGTTCTTACCTGTTTCGGTATTCTTTATTTTACTTTTTTTTTTATCATTATCATTTGCTGGCTGCCCCTGCTACGATGCGTATCTCTCAGATACAGCACAACACACAGATACAGCTTCTTGTGTTCGGTTTTGCAGCATGAATGATTTCTGTGTGGCAACATCAGGTACATGCGTCTGCGCTTTTTTTTTTTTTTTGCTGCTGCTGCTGCTGTTGTTGTTGTTGTTGTCGGCAATCATAATTATCTTTAATTTTCAACATGAGCAACAAAAAACACCATGGCGAAAACCGAGCGTGGCCGGGAGAAATGCTTAAGATTCACATGCTTCCTAGGCAACCAACGGCTGCTGCTCTGCACCCAGAATCGGTGCGCCTGCAACCTCAGTTGCCACACAGCAGACGTACAGAGAGAAAGAGAGAGAGAGGAGAAAGAGAAAGAAGACACAAGCAAATAAAAAGCGAAATTACATGAATGAATGCAACAGTTGAGGGGCGAGAAGAGTCGCGGTGTCGAGTATTGATGTTGTTTGCTCGCAGCTGTATCTGCATCTTTGTGTACAAAACCATTTGTATCTGTATCTTAGCTTTGATTTCTTACTTACCTGCTCAGTCTGTCGGCTCGCTGCTTCCGAGATGGCTTAACAACAACAACAACAACAACAAGAACAGCTACAGTTGCTAAAAGCATACATCTATTAGTACAGTGTAAAGTTCGTCATTCGAGGGCTCTCAATGCAGGTGCATTGTTGCAGCCTCAATCTGTTTATCAGCAAGTGGATGCAGCTGTTAACGAGACACACACACACACACACACACACAAAGCGATTGGTCGCAGCTCCAATCAGCTTATCAGCAAGCTTATGCAGCTGTTAACCAGGCACACACAGACTCCCACATGGCGTTGCTCTGTTTACAGCAATCGCAGTCTGTTAAATACCTGCAAACTGACTGCCGTGAGAGACTTAACAGCCGCATTGACTGTTATCCATTGTTCTGTACATGTAACATACATGTTTATGTGTTTGCTACAGGAAGAGCGTCGGCACAGGGACGCGGGTGGCCACAATTGCACTTTGCACTTGAAGCTAACATAGGCGCGGACGCTGCTGTTAACGTCTCTGCGCAGGCGTCCCCGCTTGTCGCTCAAATGCGCGGGGGCTCTTAATATTTCGTTTTGCCAGGCAATTGAAAATTTCAGCAGAATTTGTCGTATTGTAGAAACTCGAAACAGAGGCTGAAAACAATTCAAGTGTGGCCAGACCTGAAGAGCGAAAACACAAAACAAACGCAAAACAAAACACAAGTAATATGTATACATACACTCACACATGTTTATATTTGTATGTTTGAACGTTTATGTATATGTTCATGTGGAAGAAGACACTGAAGGAGTGCGGTGGAGCTGCAGCAGAAATAAACACAAAACAACAGATGCAATAATTTCCGGTGCCACTATTGTTCTCAATCAGCTAACGCCATCTCCCTAAGCCGCACTCGCTCCAGCTCACGCTCGCTCTTTCTCTCGCTCTCTCGCTCTCTCTCGCCGCGCTCACTGAATTTTGTGTATGCTTTGTATGCGGGTGTGTCATACGTGTTGCTCCGATCTCGATTCTCGATCTGAAGTATTAAAAAGCGGAACCGTGCTAAGTTATCGGCGACGGTTCCAGGCCAAGTCCTAAGTTCCAATACCCAATTGCTGTTATTTACCATATGCAATTTGAATGGGCAAAAAACCCAGCGACAGGCACAACTGCCTGACTTTTTGCGTCATGGCTTCGGAAGAATTCTGTGCAATATGTGAATGTTTGTGTGCTTGTGTGTGTGTGTGTGTGTGTGTAAGTCCATTGTGGTGTGTGTTCTTGTCAACCAGGAACATGGAACATGAAAAAAGTACTGAATTCAACATTCGTTCTACTCGACGCAGCGCAAACAAAGCCTTTACCTCCTCCTATGCCATACGGCCAACAAAGATTCTATGCTCGTTTAAATTGTTCACAGAAGTGGGTTAAAATAAACAAAGGTCATCTTACAATTCTAAGCCCACACAATCACGTGCCAGCTTGCACGCACATATATATAAGTACATACAAACATACATATATCAAGAACATATAGTTGTGAAATGGCATTACAAAAGGCATGCCTAACATGCCTGCTGGGTACCTTCGTAAACAAGTACTGGAAAGGGAAATGCAATTGCACGACTCTCTGATCGACGCTCTCGCTCGCTCTTAAGCTGCGCTCCGATATGGCAGCTCTTCATTTTCCGTTTTCATTCATAAAATTTCGATTGAGTCGCTACAGTAGCAACGATTTGTGAGTAAACCGTGTTTTGTTTACAGTGCGCTCGCTGGCAATGAAAAAAAAACGTGAAAGCGTTTCCCTATTTATGTTTAATAAATGAGCAAAAATATTTTGGTTAAATATGTGTTCACATACATATGTTTGCATATGTATAATAATAATAATATTTAAATGTTTACTCAAATGTAGATAATACTGAATGAATTCGATTTTTGCAAATTCCATTAAACAAAATGAATAAATGCAATATTAATAAAATAAACAAATACTTTATTTAAAGCCAAGTGCTTAAAAATAGCAAAAACAAACAATAAATTGCGCCAGAATTGTTAAGACAAGAAATAACATAATACTAACATTGCGCACAGCGGCAATGTTGTTGTGTTCTCTCTGAGAGCGCAACTGTTAAGTTAACAGTTGCGTTGAGAGCCAACAGCGAGTAGCGGTTAACAGCTCTTTTGAGTATTTAGCAGCTCTCATGAGTATGTCTCAGTTACCCTGGATTAATAGCGTCTGTTAACTTAGCAGAACAGTCTTATTTCAGAAGTCGAGGTCTGAGGACGTGCAGTCGCCGTTAAAATCTGTAAATTCGAATTAAAAATCTTCGTTGCAACTGCAATTGGCTATCAATTGATGCGAGTACGATTTTTGTTTTGCGACAAATAATATTATACAATTAAGTGCACAACGCGTGTGTTTACACTGAGTGTTAGTGAGTTTTTTTTTCTACATTTTTTTTTGTTTATTAATTTCGGTCGTTCCTCTTCTGCCGAAAGGCAGCGCCGGTGACGGCACAAAGCAGCCGCGCCAATAGCAACAAGTGTAAAGTCAAATAACAGACGAAAGCGAATGCAAGTAAACAAGTACAAAGCAAAGCCAAACCAAAAACTGTGAGGCGCTTGCAGATGTGTTCTAAGCAGTAACAAACACACACACACACACACACACAAGCACAACTGCAATTAACGATTAACAAAAAGAAAGCAACTGAAGCAACAACAATACGCAGAAACAACAATTGTTGCCTATTTGACCGAAAGAATAAGAACAAACGGCCGCAGCAGCAGTAACAGCAGCTGTCATATTGAAAAGCAAAACAGCAAAACGGCAAAACGGCAAAAACAAAAGTGCAGTGACTTCACCTTCATAAAACACACATAACAAAAAACAAAAAATAACAAAAAAAAAAAATAACAAAACATAAGAAAGAAAATAAGCAGACTACAATTATCAGCGTGATCGCAAGAGAGACAGTAATAGACAGCGTGAGCAGAGAAGCAGAGGAGCAGAAAGAAAAGGTAACGACACAAAGAACAATTGCAAATTATTGTGGTTTTTGCTTTTGCATTTGATATTTGTGCGTTGCATTTCGATGCGAAATGGCAATTGAGAACAGTGGAGCATTGGAAGATTGGAACTGGAACTGGAACTGCAACTGTCACAGAGAGACAGATGCATTTCCATGCTGTTGACATACACACATACATATGTACATACATACAAAATTCAGTGTTGATCAATTTATCAGTTTCTCGCGATTCCCTTTCGTGTTTCCTGCTTGCTTTGCTTTGTGCTTATCCCGTTCATTCCGCGCATTTTTAATTGCCGCACGCCTTCTTGCATTTGATACATTTGATGCATTTGTTAGTGTAATTTCCCTTTTGCGGCATATTTATACAAAATTCAACACGCATTCTCGTTGCATTTTAATTTTCGGTTTGCGTTCGCGTTTCCAGGAACTATTTGTACTTGAGCACGAGAACAAGAACAAGAACCCAAACTCGAGGCGAACGACAAAATTTGTGAATCGGGGGCGGAGTAGAAGGTGGATTTAAGAAGCAATTGATGAAAAGTAGGCCGTAAAGCCATCAGTGACTCTCAAACTGTTGCGCTCAAACTGTGACCCATGCAACAGAAATTCTGTTAGTTAGATAAAGGATAATAGCCCCACCCGTAAATTTTGTGGAGCAACAACTGATATGCTCCTTTACACTCACAAGCAGAGCACAAAGCTTGTGTGTGTGTGAGTGTGTGTGTGTTCTCTGCATATCAAACTGCAATTTTAAGCCCACTCTTGAAGCTGCCGCTAGCCTCCGGCTTTGCGCGGCCTTTGCATCGCAACCGTAACAGCAGCACGAAACGCGGCCCCGAGCCACAGTTGGCAATACCAAGAAGAGACCGACGCCGAGACCGAGACGAAGACGAAGACCCAGACCCAGACCGAGACGGAGACCCTGGCACTCAACCCTTTCAAAGCAAACCGAATTCGAATTCGAATATTCGCATCAAGTGCGCTTTTTGCGCCGCTTTCAATTTTGGCCTCCAGCGCCTACAAAACAAAAGTAAACCGAACCCAAAACTAAAAACCCAAGACCGACTCACAGATCTGCATATTCATAATTATATGTGCATACATATGTACATGCATACATTTATGTATGTATCTTAGTTCTTAAGGGAAATACGATGAATGTGCATTCGCTCTTCTGAATGTAAATTAAAGCACACTTCCTTCAAGGGAATAATTCGATTTTCCAGCAGGACAACGCCCCTGTTCTCACTGCACGAGCTATAAAAAAAAAAAAACTGAATGCTCAGATATCAAAATTAGAAGAATTATCTCTAGATAATTTAATTTCATTCAGGCAAAATCCTTAGAATTATGAACTATTCCAAATAAGAATTTCTCTGAAATATTTGTAAATAATTCCCAGATGACTATTTGTAGCTCAAACTTTCTACTTTTTTGACACTTTTACGTACTTAAAATTTAAGAAATGAATAGAACTTTAGGTGTTCACTCAAGAGGGCTTTCACTGTAGAAAGGGGAAATGTTGGTATTAGACTGTTTGATATTTGTTTTCATACAAATTTTATGTTCCGTTTCGCGATCTTCAATCTGAACATGATTCCATAAGCAAAAGGCAACGACAAATGCGAGCTCAATCAATGTGTGTGTGTGTGTGTGAGTGTGTGTGTATCTATGGAGATATTTACATACGAATACTTCAAATAGCGCTCAGCATGCCGCCAAGTTTGCAACACATGTTTACCATTTGTTGCCGCAATACAAATGCAACGCACACACACACAGCTGTACAAGTGTGTGTGCGTGTGTGTGTATTCAAAGAAAACTCCTTTCGGATCTTGCTGCCGCTTGGCCTAGGCAGCCGGCGGCAGGCAACTGGCGGGGGCGCCGGGTGAGACATAGGAACTGAGCCAGGAGAACAAAACATGAATACAAACGAATCGCAAGACGTTGACAGCAAACTGAGTTATTTCCAAAATTGGAAATTGAGCGACAACAACAACAACAATGGCCAAAGGCAACTTGCAACAGGCAACAGGCAACAGGCGACAGGCGACGCGTCGGCCAAAGGCAGCGTCAAAGGGAAACATAGATACATGCATTTACACATAAATAGAAACCGTAGCCAAGTTTTTGTTTTTGGGAAAGTTGCGTCATCTGTTGTCACTTGACGACATAGATCCCAAGTATTAATAAGAAGAAGAAATCAAATCAAAAACTTTAGCTCAACATGCACAAAAATGTGTGCGCGCGCGTGTGTGTGTGTGTGTGTGTGTGTGTGTGTGTCAGTACTGTGTATCTGTCAGATACGCAGCTCAACACGCAGAGCAGTGTAATTAAAACAACAACAATAATAAGAATATAGCCTCAACCAGCACGGGTATACGACTTAAAGATACCCTGTAGTCAGCACTCATCTCGCATATAGAAATTGATCCAGACATTTTCTGCCATTGCAGGACACTCTGCTTGACGTGTCAGCAACGTTGTCTTCGAGTTAACACTTTTCTGACTCTCAAATTAATTACAAAAGGTTAAATTAAATATAACAAGGACGTATTATTATGTTTGAGTTCAATAGCTCTGAAAACCTGAGCTAATGATGCGTGAATGGACGCATGACGAGTTTAAAAGACATGAAAGCTATTAAGCCACAAGACACCTTCGATGACATGTCAGCTAGCCCGTCGTAAGGCCAACAACGACATCAGCAATTAGCTAGAATCGTGAACTGCATAAGACATCAGACAATTTCGGCTATGTGAATGTAAAATGTGAACGCATTTGCGATAGCTACAGGGTATACAACAATAATAATAATACGCATTAGGCTCGGGCCCGGCGCGCAGTGAAAGCGAATCGCCAACTTGTTAACTAACGTCAAAGCTATACCCATTTACAGACTGCTAACAGCACTGACTGCAACTACAATAAACAATAAAAACAAACAGCTACAGAAACATTCGACAAAAAGTAAAAAAAAAAGCACACACACACACACACACACACACACACACACGCACAGAGAGACATGCAGCACAACAAGCAGAAGATTTAATGATTTTAACTAAAACAACAACTAAGATGAAAACGAAAGTCTTGGGCCACACACACACACACACACACACACACGCATAGTTAAGAGAGAGGGATAGCGAGAGAGAGCGTGAGCGTGAGCGTGAGCGGGGTAACGGTAACGGGGAGTTAGCTGCACAGCAAATTAAATTGAAACGCTGCGTAGATAACTGCATCAAACAGCCCTCCGCCCCACAATACCCCGTCAACTGCCCACCCACCAATTCAATTGGCAGCGCGTATCTCGACTGCAAACCCAGTTTACCTATTTGCTGTTGTTGTTGTTGTTGTTGCTGTTGTTGTTGTTGTTGCTGCACTCCTCTCATTTGCAGTCGCTGCAGTTGTCGCCGTCGGCGTCGCAGTCGCAGTTACATTGATTAATTTGTTGCTCGTCGTCGTCTTGTTGCTTGCTTTTTTTTTCTTCTTTATTTTTTTTTTTTTTTTTTTTTTTTGACAATTTTCAATTTTCATGGCGCATCCCAATACGGTGAAACCACCCGCTCCCCCGCCCCTGCCTACAACCCAAACCAAACCCAACCCCTACCCACATGGGGCGTCCCCATTGCACGTCACGCCCCGTCGCATTGCATTTTTATTGTTTTGTTTCAACCCGATTTTCGGTTTCGATTTCATTTGCGTGTAGAAATGCATTTAGTTGTTTTTCTTCTTCTTCTGCTTCATTTCTCTTGCTTCCTCTTCTGCTTCTGCTACATTTTTATTTTTATAATTTCAAGTTAATTACTGTGACTTTGTAAGCTCTGCCAGCTGTTGTTAATGTGCGTCCCCCCCCTCAACAACAGCCCCCTTGCCCTTCAAAAACCAAATGATACCAAAACAGACAGAAAAAAATAAATAGATTTCTCTGGAATCCTTAAATGCCAGTTCTCACTTTTCTCATGCTCTCTCGCTGCTACAGCCACAACTACGACAATTGTGAACACATATATGTATGCGCTCAATTCACAATGGACAACTGACAGACACAATGCCCGAGTCGAACTATAGCTTTGTTGTTTTTAAGCCCATTTATTTACATAATTCACTATTTGTTTATTTACTCAATGGTTTTTAATTGTTGAACAACTCGCATGCCTTGAAGTTAATTAAAAATATATGTAAAGTATTTAGCTAATACGCTTAACTAATAAATGCTCAGCTTAAATGTGTAGGATTATTTTAACAACCCAATTACAGGCTTAGAGGCTTACAGTTCAAAAAGCTTTTCAGAGAAATTATAGCTTGCTTAATCTATTTTCAGCCACAATTTAGGCAAATGATTGCAAACACTATAACTTCTATCATATCTATATATCTAAGTATCTATCCATCTATCTATCAATCTTTCAATCTATTAATCTATCTATATTCATATATCTATCTATAATAATTTTCCAAGTATACGAATTGTTATTTCCATGAATTCAAAATATTTTCTAGTTTTTTAGTTATCTCAGACAGTTCTCTTAGGGTTTTGTGGTCCGTTATTTCTAGCTGACAATTATTCAAAATAAAACTTTGAACATGCCACGAAAACAAAACGTATTATATATAAAATGATTATATTTTTTTTAATAAATAATATTAGTTTCATACAATTAGAATAATTTGTATGGTATGCTAAGACTTCTGAAAGTAAGATTCTCGCCCAGCCCTGAGCCAGATAAATTGCATTTAGCGGCAAACTGTTAATTGGTAGAACAAAGTACAGTTTAGCTTTTCGTGGCATATCGTGTTAGCTCTATATTTTGACACTTGAACTGACAATGGGATGGGGCGAGCTGCGGCAGGGGTGGGTGGCACTTAAAGGTCAGTTGGTTAACTGCGACTGCAACTGCAACTGGCAGTTAATTGAACTGCAACCGCTTCCCAGTGCTAGTTAATTCTCTTCCTCACACTGTCGACTTATCACCCCCT